AGGGAGGGAGCCTGTCAGTGCAAGACAGGGACATTAGAAACAAACAAAAGAACTAGGGGATCTCAGAAAGTGACCAGATTTTTATTTTTTTAAGCATCAAATTATCATAGCAGAAAAGGGAGCTCTACAAGGTTAGAAGATCTTTCTCAGTCCCTGTTTCCTAAGAGTTCAGTGACAATGACTTTACCTCATAATGAACACTAGGAAAATACTGAGATCAAATCCCTACTAAAGCTTAAGAAAAATAAGGAGATCAGTGGTGTCCTTCATAATGAATGCACATCTGAAAGACATAACCATAACACAGATTGCAACTGAATATAAAAGCAAATAGAACCAAAAAGTTATGCTGAGAGAGGGACAGAGAGGGAAAAGAAGGAATAAAAAAAAAAAAAAAGACAGTGTTTATCTGGTAAAGAACAATCTGTTCTTTACCAGATAAACACTTTTATCTGTCTGTTTATCTGACATCAAGATATATTCTAGTAAAATCACTGGACTTAAAGAAGAAAAAAATTGGGAGGCCTTCTAGACCTATAGTCACCAGTATGGTAGCCAGTAACCACTTGTGGTGAGACTTTGTAATGTTGCTCTGTAGTGGTGGCAGATTGATGTGTACCATGTACCAAATTCCAGATGTTTTAGCATGAAAATAAAAAAGTAAAAGACCTCATTAATGATTTTTTTATGTTGTTACATATTGAAATAATAATTTGGGTATATTGCATTAAAGAAAATACATCATTAAAATTTCACCTCTTTCATGAAGGAACTTTGGTTTGTGTAGAGGGGAGTCAGGGAAGAGGTGGGGTCATGGGGATGGAAAAACAATAGAAAGAGACAGACATTATTACCTTATATAATGTATGATTACATTAGTGGAGTAACTCTGAACCATGTTCAGCCAGAGGAATGAGAAGTTGTGCTCCATTTGTGTAGTATATGTCAAAACGCATTCTACTGTAAAATAAATTAATTAAAAATTTTTTAGCTCTTTCAAAGCTTTTGCTCCTTATTGTGGCTCATAGAAAATTTTACAAATTAGATATGCAACTGTGCTTTTGACTTGCATTGTATATCTGTTGGGCAGCAATGATCAAGAATTGCAGCCTCCCTTCTGTATCAGTCCTACCAGCAAAATTGCATTCATTATTCTTACTGTGGATCTAGAAAACTTTGCTGAATAGAATTTTCATGTGAACAGCCCTTTTGAAACTCACCCTCTCTTAATCTACTTTGGATCTCTATGTAAAAGTCTTGTATTACTTCTTCTATCATGTCTAGGAATGCTTTATCCTCCTGAATAAACCATAGTGCAGAAGCTCTTTCATCTCCATCAGGATAAGGAAGGCTTTTGCTGCCTTAATGCCCACCATTGCTGATGTTCATCAGCACACTGTTGGGTGAACACAGCATATTCCCTGCCTTGGCCTGGAATCATTCCCTCACTTTCTTGGTCTCCTTGATCTGAAGGATAGCTTCTGTTTTGTGGTTTTCTCTGGGAACTTCATTTTTCTTTCTTCCTCCTCTTTTGCTTTCTTTCAGTTTTGTGTTTTGCAAACAAATCAGAATTTGTTTTCATTTTTTTTGTGATTTATCTTCTCCAGATAATCTACTTAAAGATGAGTTTCTAGAGCATTAAACCTGTCAGCCATCTGTATTCAAATTGGGTTTATTTTAGGGGGAAAAGATTTTTTATTAAAAGTATTAAACTCATTGTTACATGAAATGTAGTAGGATTTCAGGAGAAACAAGTAATTTGAAATTTCCATTGGCCCACTTTGAAATATAAAGCCCATAATTATTTGGGGATATTTTACAAAATAAGTTCATAAACTTTTCCATATCTTTAGAAGATTAATATTATCATTCAGTATTTCATTCTCTAAAAATTGGGAAAACTATTCCTTATATTTCTATATTCATTCTGATACAACTGTGTCCAGGCAGCCCTTCTTGGATTCAGTGTTAATATGAAAAATAAATTGTATCATGTTAGATCTAAAAACATTCATGTTCATTGAATTAGTTATGAAAAAGCAAGACCCCAGCATCCTTTCTGTAATGTTTTGTTTTAAGCAGAATTGCTACAGATATTTTCATAAACCAGCAACTCAAATTAGGAATGAGTTTTTTTTTAATATGATATTATTACTAGTGGGTATTAATGGAGAGGAATTGCTGAGTGATAAAGTGGGAGAGTACTCGCAACTAAGAGAAATAGCCATTTAGAACTCTTATTTTGTGAATAATAGTATTTCAGTAACAATTTTTTCTTTAAGAAGATGATTTTGATACTAATAAGTTATTTTAACAGAATGTTTTAGTTTCAGTTTTATTTGTATATGGATAACTTGCCCAGTGTCTCTGGAAATCTCATCAGTATTTTTGTGTACCATATCTTTTCTTTTTTTTTTTAAACTTTTAATATTTATTTTTTAGTTCTCGGCAGACACAACATCTTTGTTGGTATGTGGTGCTGAGGATCGAACCCGGGCCACACGCATGCCAGGCAAGCGTGCTATACCACTTGAGCCACATCCCCAGCCCCCATATCTTTTCTTTATAAGTAACTTTGTGTTAGTTTGTAATTTGCCCCTTCATGTAGTCTCTGTCTAAATTATTATTAATTCTCAATTACTAAAGTCTGATAAATTAAGTACTTAACAAATACACATTTATTACAATATCCAGAATTGAGACTGTGTGTCTTTATAATCTTTCCTCATTTTCTTTAAGCACCCATTGGAGTTTCTGTCATGTTCTTAATTAGAGAACTGGAAATTTTCTCTCTTATTCATGTAAGCTATTATACACAGACTATTGTACGCAGATCGTAAGGAGGAGGAGGAAGGCTTTGGATAAGATCATTTTCTAGCTTCTCTGTTCTGTATTTTAAAGCTCATTCATAAAAACTCAGACATCTATTTATATTTGGTTACCTTTAGGATAAACTCTGACATTGCCCATTAGTGAGGCTAGGCAGCCTATTTGGCATCTCAGATGAGGAAAATACCTCATTCACGCACTGCTTCTTTTGTGTTTAAGGGGATGTTTTTTGGGAGGGTGTCTCTGGCAAATGAGCACAGAAAAGCCTCCCTGTGATGTCATCAGTACGGCTTCTGTGGCTTGAATTTGTTCTTTACCAGAGTTGCTGATAAAGGTATGCATAGCATTTCAAACATGAAATGTGATTTAGTGGAACAACTCAGGTCCATTTTTTGCCAACGTGGAGTGTTCGCTACCAAAAACTCTTGTCAGTTGTCCATATAGCTTAAGAGAAGGTGAAACTGCCACGTTTTCAATCACAGTGTCCTGTATGGCCCCATACTGTTCAGTACTGTCTGTACATTTCAACTCACACCTCTCTGTTTCCCACCTGTATGCACAGTAGGATGAGAGTCTCTAGATTGTCCAGCCTGAGTACACTGGAAGTATTTGTCTCTGCCCTATGGTTGAGGTGGAGTGTGGCAGTCTCACACGCTCTTAACAGCTGAATAAGGAGAAACTGTAAAGACTGGCAAAAGGACAAGAGGAAGAAGAAAAATTCAGTAGCCCCTGTTCTTTCTGTATTTTGGATTTTATTTCTGCTCTCATTTTTTTATCTTATAGAAAGGGAAATTTATATCCACAGAAGTTAAAATGACTTGTCCAAGTTCAATTTAGTGGAAGTTATAGCCCAGATTTCCCAATTCAGCATTCAATATTGTTTCCAGCATGATGCACTGAGTTCCCTTACTTGGGAAAAGAGAGTAATTTCATGACAGACATTTGCTAGATCTGCAGCTAATACCCACAACTGTGAAGAAGATCCGAATCGAGAAACTCTTTGAAAATGAGATGCGCCTGCATGAGAGTTTATTCCCAAATGAATCCTTAAGTGATTCATTTAATGATTCCTGGAAGATTCTTCCAGTCCCACTGCTCTGTCAGCTCTTACCCTTTAAGAAGCCACCTCAAAACTTCACTTGTTAAAACAACAATCATTTGTATTTTATACAGCAAGCATTTATCATTAGAATCATATTTTGATAATGTTTGTACTCTGTCCATGGAACTCTCTTCAAATCTTTGGGATCCAAAGTTATTAAATTCACATACTTCTTAAACAAAGTAATATTTTTTCTAAATTTTAAGTAGTCCATTTTCAGGAAGGAAAAAGAAGCTTATTATTTTTCTTTCACCTCTATTTCGCTTGAAAAATAATAATGTTTGATCATAATGCAGTCTGTATTTGCATGCTTTAACTTGAAGTTCTTTTAATAATGCCAAAAAAAGAGTGTTTTATAATCACAAACAGCAGCCCTTGTGATGTTTGTACCTCTGTAATGCCCCAGTTGTCAAAAACTTAAAATTAGGCATATGAAAAAATTAGTGTTGTTATTAATAATAGTTTACATTGAGTTTTATGGGCTTCATATTGTCTTCAAGTGATTTAACTATGTCATTTTTAAACTGCCTGGGCACATATTACTCTTGACATTTATGGTGCTATTATTCTTGGGTACATTTTTTTAAATTTTTTTTTCTGTTGTAGTTGGACACATTATCTTTATTCATTTATTATTATTTTTATGTGGTGCTGAGGATCGAACTCTGCACCTCGCACGTGCTAGGCTAGTGCTCTACTGCTGAGCCACAACCTCAGCTCCTTGGGTGCATTTTTGTTGCTGATAGAAATTTCAAGTTTAAGTTCTTACATAGCCATCTAGTACTGATTATTGTGAAGCATTTTCAGTGCTCAGAGTTGAAAGTATGTTTAATTATGCCCCTTCATGTTAGCTTTTTTAAAAAATTGGCACATAGTATTATACATATTTATGGAGCACACTGTGATAATTTGCTACTTGTATACAATGTGTAATGAACAAATTAAGGTAATTAGCATTTGCATCACCTTAAACATTTATCATTTCTTTTTAAAATGAATCTGGCTGGTAATTGATATGTCATTGTGTGTTGATTTTTCCTCCTTTTAATGGTGAATCTTTTGTTCACAGTGTCTCAGTTTGAAACTGAATTCCACATCAGTGGACTCGCCCCTCTCTGTGATCAGCTTGTTGTACTTTCCTACGTAAAAGAGGTTTCAGAAAAAACGGTAATTATTTTTTCCACAATTTCAAAGGGATGTGGGGGTTCATTTTTAGCATTATACCCGGATCAGGTTGCCTGTCAGAGGAGTCTTCTATAAGCTGAGTAGAATTTTCTTGATCTATAAGACTAGCAGAGACTATGCTGTAGACCCTAATATATTTACCTGAAGAAGGTCCATTCATTGCCTGCCTTTGTTCTTTTTTTCTGAGCAAAGAAAAGTCATTTTCCCCTTCTTTTTCATCAGTCTCTTGGTATTTTAGTCGAAAGGAATGAAGTATCCCTCTTGCGGAAAGGCGAAGAAACTAAGCTGACACTGTGCATTAGCAGAAATGACAGCAATGAAGTTGATCGGCTGCAACAACAGGGGTCCCTGTGGTCAGAGGGAGTTATGGAAAGGGCAGTTCATTATTTCCTGTGGTCCAGACATATTTGTTTACTTCCCAGTGGCCTGGTGAATCCGAGTAGTTTGAGTGTTGTAACTTTGAGTTACCAATTATGGATTGTTGTAACTTTCAGTTACCAATGCAAATGATAGTATAGTGAAATGTGTGGCTAATAGAAAGCAGTAGGTAGTCTAAATTTCATTGTAATGATGTTAGAATGAAGCTTACATCTGGGATCCAGTGGAGGGGCCGGCACACCCAGTTATCCCTTTGAAGCCTAGGCCAGCACCATTCCCAGCTTGTTGTTATTGTTAGAGTCTAGGGGTCCTACCTAGAAGGGGATGGGAAGGCTTCAAGGCACAAACAAGGAGAGTTTATTGTAAAGGATTTTCTTTTGGATGCTGTATATAAAAGAAATTGCAATTGATTCTCTACCCCTTTAGAGTAAGTAGGCAAGTGGACCCTCCTTGTTTGTGTCCTCCTCCTTTTCTTCTTAAATGGCAAGGAATAAAATGGGGGAGGAAAAACCCTGGGAGCCCTTGTTTTGAAGTGGTAACTGCACTTGAGCTTTTCTCTGAGCGAGCACTTGCATTAGGAAGCCATCACTATAGTAACTGAAGCTCTGGGTGCCCATGTTGCTAGGCAATGGAATGCTGTAGACTTAAGTGAGCACTCAGACCTTCTAAAATCAATAGGGGTGGCTTCTAGCCCTATTGCAGGACATCAGTTTATTATTATTTTATTTATTTATTTTTTGAAAATAAAGAAAAGCAGTCGCTCCTGAGGGAGTAAATTCAGTGCTTTTTGATGAGGAATGTGGGGAGGATTGAGATTGTGATTGAAAGAAATAAGGAAAGAAGCAGTAAAATGAAAAAGGAAGGCCTAATAAACAACTGACCAAAAGAAAGAATGAAAGAAAAGAAGCCTTTGTTAATAAAAGAGTATTGAAAATAAATAAATCCAAAGAAAGGCCAACCTTACAGAATAAATTAGAAAATGGAATTTATTTCCAAGGAAGAAGGAAGGGTCTTGGAGATGACTTAAAACATTTGTGTCAGTGTACACGGAGACTCACTTTATTGAACATCAAAGTGTGCCTTAAATCCTTAAATAAATTATTAAGGCAGAAAGAATAAAAGAGATCATCTTTAGGCCACCTTCTACCTCCCCCCAGCTTTTCTTTTTATCCATATTGAACAATGTTTAATTATATTTAATAAAATTTATTTTCAGTATTTTTCCCAAAACATTTCCCATGTGATGCCTTTGACATAGTTTGTTTTCACATAATTGCATTCAGTGGCACTTGCTCCTTAATATTGCCTTATTTTTATGCATATTAATCCTCCCCGTACGTATATGTGGTTTCTTTCTGTTATTAGTATGTTTGGTAGTCATATACTATCCTGTCTGATTGACATAACTTAATTTATTAAGTGGTTCCCTAACGTTTGGTTTTTCTTTCATTAGTTAGTAAAGTACAAATGTGATAAGTGTTGGCTAAACATTGGAGGTCAGAGATCAACAAAGCCAAATTCCTGACCTTGGCGAGCTAGATAAGCAGGCTGGTTAGCCAGAGAGCAAGAGATGTAAAATGACGTGAGTCACCTTACTGGTACTTTTCTTACACATAGAAAGGCACTTTTGGTATTGTCTGGTGAGGTGGTTTAATGTGGTTTTTTGTTGAAATATTTTTTCTACTTTGCTATTCTAATGTTCACATCTTTTATTATTTTTATAGAAGTCAATTTTTATGGTTTTTTTAGTGCTCTATGGTTATACATAATAGCTGGATTCATTGTGACATATTTACACATACACATAACATGATTCAATCAGTCTTATTCCTCAGTACCTCCCTCCCTATTCCCTCCCTTCCTTGTTACCCCTAGCCCTTTTCCTCAACTGGTCTCTCTTTTATTATTATTTTTAAAAGAGTACATTTATGTGTGTGTGTGTGTGTGAGAGAGAGAGAGAGAGAGAGACTCTCATTGTGATATGTTAATTACATGGACTTAAAATAATTTGATCAATTTCATTCCTTAGTGCTCCCTCTGTCATTCCTTAGTACTTTCCTCCCTGTCAGTCCCCTTCCTCTGCTCTGTTAATCTCCCTTCTATTTTTGTGAAATCCCCTTTTTTATTTCATATTTTTCCTCTCCATATTACAAGAGAAAACATTCAACCCTTGACTTTTTGAGTCTGGTTCATATGACATTCAGTTTTTTAAATATGCAAATCTTTTCATTTTCTTTGATTTTTTTTCTGTTTCAAATTTATCTGATAAATTATGCTATGTGTTCATACTCACTCTTTTTGTTGATCTTGTGTAGTTGCTATTTTATTTTTGGAATGTTTTCAGTATATGAGATGGAAGGCTAATGTAATTACTTCCCAGTTTCTGAACAAGATTTGTCAAATTCAGGTTTACTATTTTATTTGGGAAACTTAGAGGGCCAGGTCTAGTTCTGGAGGGTATTTTGTTTTGGTTGTTTGTTTTTTTCCCATTTCATTTCTCTCATCTGTGTCTTCTCTGTACCGATTTCAAAGTGCTTCAGGTATTGTTGGTTTGTCAAATGAATTCAAGTGTATGTTTTGTACATAAAGTTCACAAAGCATGAACTTTAAATTAGAAAAAACTTGACTTCAAGTCTAAAGTTGGCTTTAAGTCCTGATTCTCCACATAACCCACTTTTATAATTGGCTTATATAACTTTAACCTTAACTTTTTTGATTCTCTGTTTTCTCCATCTATAAAATTAGAAATTATAATTCTTCACTTTCTAGGGCTCATTTAAGAACTTAGAGTAATATATGTATATTCACTTGCTAGATTTATTGAACTGCCACAGGTCCTCAGCAAATATTCTCTCATCATTCCCTTTTTGTCCTAATCTTGTGATTCATCATCCAAAACTGAAGTCACCAGCTGTGTATGGCTGTTTGTATTTAAACTAATTAAAATCAAATAAAATTTAAATTCTTATTCATATTAATAGCATTTTATGTGTGCAGTAGCCACCTGTGACTAACATCTGCCATATTGGGCTGTGCAAATATAGAATATCTCCATCATCTTAACAATGTCTGATTTAGAGGCAACTCCTAAATCTTCGGCTTTTTAACACTACTAGTAACTTTACTAGTATTATCATTGATTTGGATAATGGAACAGTTCGTACATTATTTTACTTTTCCACACATATTTGTAGAAGAGATGTAATAAAAGGGCCAAATTCACTGTCTTGGGCCACTCCTGAGATTGGATGGGCTGCAGTGGTAGAGTGCCCGCCCATGTCACACAGTGCTGTTTATCTTACACAAAAGGTCAAGAAATAAGACATTGTTAGGATGCTGTCTACTATAGGCTGTTGGGAATGGCTTATGTGTGCAAAATGATAAAATCAAAGCAAGTGGGCTGGAGTGCTGTTCAGTGGTAAAGCATTTGCTTGGTGTGCATCCCTGGGTTCTGTCCACAGCACTGCAAAAAAAAGAATAAAACAAAACCAAAGCAAGTATGGTTACCTTGAATTAGTTTGCATAACTGGAAATGTATTTAAAACATGACTTTTCCTTTCTCCTTGCTCCCCCAGGAAAGAGAATATTGTGCCAGACCTAGATTGGATATCATCCAGCCACTTTCTGAGACTTGTGAAGAGATCTCTTCTGATGCTTTGACAGTCAGAGGTTTTCAGGAGAATGAATGTAGAGATTATCATTTAGGTGAGAGACAGCAAAGGTCTGGTTCATGTGATTTCCTGTGTTATTTGCCCTTCTACTTTATTTTGACAAAAGGAAACTTAAATTGAGTTGCTGAGAGGATCTTAGAGAATATGTAGGCAGGCCTCTTCTTTTGAAAACCAGAGCGTTCAGGCTCAGAAATATCCCAGAGCTTTTCTAAGCTCTCATTGCAAAAGGAAGTAGAAACCAGGACTGATGAGGAATAGGCTCCTTGTTTGTTGTTTTATTATTACTTTTTTCCATCGTGCTAAGTAACAGTTAACTTGATGTCAAGCAACTCTCTGGTTCTGACATCCCTCCAACTTTATGTCCCTGTAAGGTTTGCTCTGGGATGGCAGAGAAATTGTCTTTCTGTGAGTTACTGAGTGCTCACAGCTGAGAAGAGTCCTACCATATCACTAGACATTAGGTGAATATTTGTGGAGTGGATGGATGAGCATACTTAGTCATTCACTGTGCCATCCATCCTTTTGCCAGACACAAAAGGAACACCATTATTATTTAGTCATACCAAGGCCATCTGTGTTTGAGTGTCATCATATCCTCATAAAATACATTGAGGAAAATAGAACAGTTAGGCTTTTTAAAAAATTTGTTTCCTGCTTTAAAAACGTTTGACACTTTGTGAGAATATTTTCATTTCCTACATTGGCTGAAGAAATGAAGAAATATTCTATACATGTTTGAGCTTTCTTATGTGAACCTCCAAATCAGTTGAAAAATGGGAGTATATTCTGGACTTGGCAAAAAGCAACTGTGATTCACAACTGAAAGCGTCCAATCTAGGTATTTTGCTTAGAGCAAACTCTGTTACACACTTAGAAACCATTCAGAACAGGTTTTATAATTGAATTCTGCAGGAAACCCTCACCATTGGCATTGTGCACAACATGCTGAAATGATAGATTATGTCCCCAGGGCTTGGGCGTCTGTCATTTATGCTTTAGATGGCCTTGACCTTGATGAGGAGGAAACATTTATCGCAGACTGTGGGGTGTAATTGTTCTGTAAAAATAGAACAGTGTCATAAGTGGCCATAAATAAAGTTTATATACAGTAGATGAATTCTAATATGCAATGGATGTGAAGAATTTTGAACATTGTTTTTTATATGAAGTCAGAATGTTAATGTATTTAAACACAGAATTTTGAACCTGTTAAGTTTTATAGTACTTGTTTCTCCCTGTTTCCCTTTTCTCTTTTCTTGCTTCTTTCTTTCCCTTTAAGATCTGAAATACATTCTGTTATGCTCTACCCTATTTCCTTCCTTTACCTTTCAACAAAGTGAAGCACATTTGCAAGTGTAGAAAAGTTTTCTCTTTACTCTGAAATTGGATGGGCTCACCCAAACTGTTGTAACACTTTTTGTACTGTTGAATCACTCTAGTTGTTCCTCTCTTCTCTCACTTCTAGAATACTCTGAAGGGGAATCACTCTTCTACATCGTGAGTCCAAGAGATGTTGTAGTAGCCAAGGAACGAGACCAAGATGATCACATCGACTGGCTCCTTGAAAAGAAGAAATATGAAGTAGTTTTGCTTTTAATTTCCTGGAAGTATTGACTTGTCTGTAACAGAGGATAATAGATCTTTGTTGTAAATCTTCTGTGTGGTTGAATTAGAGTGCTCCAAACCAAAAAAAAAAAAAAAAAAAAAAAAAATATATATATATATATATATATATATATGATAATAACTTTCCAATACCCCTCTCAGAAATTAGGGAACAAAAAGATTGCAATGATGTTGACTGGCTTTACTAAGTTAAATTGGGGAGGAGTCAGTGGTATAGGGAGGGAGAGGTTTAGATCTAACCTATTAAAATTTTATTTTGTGATTTATTTTTTTTTCCACCCAAGGAATTAAAAGAGAGCTAATTCCTCAGAGTTGTCTATTTGGACATTTTAATGAAATCACTCATTTTATCCTTATTGTTTTTGTAAAGATAAAGCTACTAAATTTTTTCAAACCAACCTCAGTTATCAGATAATGAGATATCTTTGTAGTCCAGGTAGGAAGTGATGAGACCTACTAGCTTGGATAGAATGATATTGTCCACTTTAGTAAATCTTGGTTTAGACGGATTTGATTAGAGAATGCCCCAATAGGACTTTATTTAAAAAATATATTTTTCAATTTTAATAGCTGAAATGTATCATGTTGGTTTAGTTAGACTGTGGATGGGCTTATGTATTAATTATCAGAAAACAATAGCAATTAATCCAACTTTTTGTTCCTCTAAATTTGTAACTACCTGGAAGGATAGGAAAAATCATTTTAATCTAAAAACTGTTTAGAGTCTAGATATAGTTGAATAGTTGCTAAAAGAGATTTTATTTTTAATTATTTATGTTAGACTAATACTTATAAACTTTCTAAAGTAAAAAACAAAATCAGAGATTTTCAAATGCTTAATTATAGATATACAAAAACGTGTACAATTTATCTATGTTGAAACCTAAAGAAAAGTGCCTTTTTTCCTTCTCTCCCTCTCTCCTTGCTCTCTTCTTTCCTTCCCTTCCTCTGTCCATCAATATGCCCCTCAGTATCTGTCACACCAATTTAGAGTGACAGCTGCCTTATTTTGCTTGGAGACTAGGAGATTTTGTTGTATTTTGATTTGTGTATGAAATGTGATTCCAATATCCTAATGCGGAAATGAATTCAAATGGAAATGAAAGAAGTCTTCATTTTGGTTGACTGCCTTTGTTTGAGTTTGAATTCAGTGAAGTTCATTCAACCATGGCATTAAAAATTCCAGTGCTTCAAGCAAAAGCCACAGGAAAATGGGGCTTTAGTCATGTAGTCCAGAATGTTAAAACATAATAAATATAGTGTTTGTAACCACAACATCTTTCTCTCCCACTCTCCCATTTTTTTCCCTTTTATGTTTCTTTTATCATGCCTATGTAAATATAGGAAGCTTTGATGGCAGCTGAAATTAGCCAAAGGAACATAAAAAGACATAAGATTCTGGTAAGTATGCCTTTTTTTAATTATATTAGAATAACTTTACCTTTTAATAAGTTGAAAAGACCATGTTCTACCTATCTTTTCAGAATTTATTTTAAACTAATTCTCTTTGGTCTGTGAGGTCAAAATATTTCATTTTATCAAATCAATTTCTTCTTGTAAACAAGACACTTGAACAGCTGCAAGGAGGTATAATTTGAAAACTATATTTGTAAAATACACTTTAAATACAAAGCTTTCCAGTTATGTATGTGGAAGTTTCTTTAAATTATAGATGAAATCACATTATCTCAAAATTTATTGAAAAAGTGCCTTTGTAAAACCAGATTGCTTTGGTGTCTCCATAATAACAAACTCAATTGATTTTTTTTTTGGAGACTTATCTAGAACATCAAATACATTTTTATTTCATTTTGAATTCAGGAAAAATGTAGAGACTGAAGGCCCATTTCTTTGCTGACTATGACAGAGAATGTGCAGATAGAAAGCAGATAAGAAATCATATCCTTTGCAGGTCCTAAGAGAACATCTAGCCTGGTACCTATGTTTTGCAGGTGAAAACTACAAACTTAGTCTTTTATAACTAATTGAGTTTCTACACAAATTTCTTTTGCCTATACTTTCCCTACCTTAAACTCTTTGGTCCCCATAAGGCTTTAATTCCCAGAATGTACAAGCAGGATAATTTAGAATTAAGAGGAAAAGAGAAAACCAGAGCATCTTTTAGTTTTAAGTTAAAAATGTAGGGGATAGGCAAGAATTCTTTAGAAATAGGAGAGAACTGAAAAGGCTTGTTTTACTTGGTTATGCAGAGCAGTTAAAGGAATTTATACCTAGAAAGCAAGAACCAGATCTTGAAGAGATTTCCATAATTAGAAGCTTGGTTCTATTTTAGAACCCTTAAAAGACAATCTGAGCTTTTAGGCCCATATCAGATTTCCCTATTACTGAGATTTTCTGGTGGAGACAAGGTCAGCTGAGATGGAGATCAGTTATCAGATAATCAGATATCTTTGT